GGTTGCTTCCAGATAAGAACGTTTTATTTTGACTTCAGGATCGTAGGAGCTTTGGTTACGGAGTTTGGATCACGGAGGCAACAATTCCAGAACTCCTCTCCCCAGAAAAACTCTCCAGATCCTCCTGGAGGACCCCAAGGTGCCCTCAGGCCAGAGAGGATGCATAATTCTTCCAGCAAGTTTTGGGTTTGCTCCAGGGTCTCCCTCCAATGGGACGTGCCCAGAAAACTTCCAGAGGGAGCAGATGTTGGAACCACCTCAGAGACTCCTTTCAGTGTGGAGGAGCTACAACTCTGCTCCATCCACCCAGACGACGAGCTGCTCATCCTGTCTGAACCCAACCGCCTTAAAAGGGACGTTAATTCATCCATGATCTATTCTTGCCATGTTCCACATCTGATCATGGGTGAGGGTTGGAAGGTAGAAGTAGCACATCAAGAATTTATGCTTTTGGCTCAGATTTTTCTTCACCACAACAGGACAGAACAACACCCTCATTACTAGAGATGAGGTCCTGATCGGTTTCAACCCTTTCCCCCTCCATCCTGCCATCCCCTCTGAACAAGACCCCCAGATGTTTGAACCCCTCCTCCTGAGGCAAAGCTAGTTTAGTATAGTTCTGTGGGTTTTAGCAGCTTGGCATAAACTTTGGTTGATTTGTTTTGTTCTTGTTGAACGCTTGTTAAGCGTTCACACAACTGCTTTTCATTTTACACCATATCTTTTGATCTGTTTACAACCTTTTACTGCTCCTTTCACATTTTGTTCCAGTTAAGCTTCTTTCAGCTTCCTTGTGCACAATTTAAATAAATAAATAAATCAGCTAATTTCAGCTGTTTTTCAGCTGTTTTGTGTTCCTTTCAGCTGTATTTGGCTTTTTGTGCTTCTTCTAACTTCTTTCTGTTATTTTCAGCTCGTTATGCTTCTTTCTACAAGTTTCAGGTTTCTGCTTTTCAGCTACTATTTAGCTGTTTTTATGCTAATTTTGGCTTTTCCAGTGAATTCCACATTTGTTGCACTCATTTCAACCTTTTTTTAGTCTTATCCAGCAAAAATGTGCTCTCTCTCTCTCTCCACTTCCGGTAATTTACTTCTTTCTGTTTTTTTAGCTGCTATTCAGCTGTTTTTTGATAAATTCAGCTTTTTTCATATAATTTCCACTTTTTTTTGTGGTAATTTCTGCAACTTTAAGCCTAGTTGTGCGTAAATGTGGTCTCTTCACTTCCTTCTGGTAATTTACGCTCCTTTCTGCTTTTTTTTAGCTACTATTCAGCTGTTGTTGTTTTTTCCCCAAAATTTCTTTTTTTTTTCATATAATTCCCATTTTGTGCTAATTTCTGGTTCTTTCAGCCTAATTGGGCACAGTTTTGCTCTCTCCACTTTCTTCAGGTAATTTGTGCATCTTTCTGCCGTTTAAGCTACTTTTCAGCTATTTCTTGCTAATTTCAGCCTTTTTAAAAATAATAATATTTACTAACTTTTGTGCTCATTTAACCTAATTAAGCAAATATGCAATTTTTCTGCTTTCTTCCGCTAATTTAAGCTTGTTCTCCATTTCAGCTACATTTCAGCATGTTTTTCTGCAATAAGCATTTACACTGCATTTTCACAGGAAATGCAATTTCTCTAGTTTTATTTATAAGCTCATTGCAAGACTTTTAGTAATTGATCATTTGTCCATTTCAGCATTCTGAACCTTCACTTTAACAGAAACTATGACATATAAATATATATGTATTTTTTTTAAATAAGAGACTTATGGTTACTTGTAGGCCTTAGTGTATCACATCCATCCTTTATCTATACCCGCTTCTTCCTTTCCAGGTTGCGGAGCTCATATCCAGCAGTCACAGTAAATCTCAGTCCAGTGAATCAACAGAACTCCTCCTGGTTCTGCTTGAGCTCTCATCCTCTACGCCTCGCTGCTCTTGAAGGATTTTTTTCAGTTTCTGTTCAGTTCTGTAAGACATCAAAACATCCTGCTGTGACAAGTGTTGTCGTTTAACTCTATGCTAGTCGTAGCATCTTAAATTGGATCAATTAATTTTGACTTTAATTAATTAAAGTCTAAATTTATTTATTTATTTAATGAAACTGCTCCAGTAAAACCTGGACTTTGCTGCCACCTTGTGTTCAAATTATAACACTGCAGTGCAGAGTGAAGCGAGGTTAAACTTAAAAATGTTTTTAAAACGAAAGATTAACAAAGGGATGATTTATTTTGACTATTATTCTTACACTTTAAATGACCATAGCTAATTAAAATCAAAGTTCATTCTCAATAATCCAGGTAAAAAAAATCCAACAAAGGTCAGTCAGGTCATCTGGACAGTTTATTTTATGTTGAGATGTTTCATCTTTCATCCAAAGGACTTCATCAGTCCGAAGAGCCACAACAAACTCAGTCCCACAAGCAGCACATTCCCAAAGTGGACCAACCAGTTTGCTGGTGATAAGATGGTTTCTGGAGTCCTCTGTCGACTCCTCTGAGGCAGCCATAGCCAAAGTGGTTCAGAACATCAAAGTTTCAACAAAAAAAGAAACCGTCCAGAGGTGCTGACTTAACTTTATGGGATTTTCTACCTGGATTATTGAGCATGAACTTTGATGTTTTGATCACTTTGTCCATGGCTGCCTCAGAGTAGTCGACAGGGGAGAGGGTGGACTCCAGAAAACATACCAATCAAACTGGTTGGCCCACTATGTGAGTGTGCAGCTTGTGGGACTGAATTTGTTGTGGCTCCTCAGACTGATGAAGTTCTTTGGATGAAGGACGAAACGGTTCAGCATAGCTAATTGAATTAATGTTAGTGACTTTTTATAATAAAAAACATCAGAACTAATAAAACAGCTAGCAAATATTTGCCTATTTAGGAAATAGAGTTAAAATTCAATGTTATATAGCAATATAGCAACTCAAAATGTTGTTTTAATCCAAAAGTAACATAATCATATTTAAAAAA